AATTGTTTTTGTTTTGAAAGGAGCAGCTGAACTGTGCCTGGAAATGTTCTGCCCAACGTTCAAAATTATGCTGCTAAATATGAATCAGTGTGCCATCAGACTCCCTAAAATTACCTCATTTACACCTACTCTCCTTAAGTTTGAACTCTCCCTTCTTAAATGAGTGGATATAGACGATGGAACGACATTATTGGTGAAGTAAACCAAGGAATTTCACTGATGAGGTTATGTGGAAATGAGACGAACACCTTAAGATCAGTTCAACCCAGGTGCACTTACTGTGTGATAGAAATCCGAGATGTCACCAAGAACCGATTGTCTGGATCGGTGCTTTTGACACTCACGAGCCGGGCTGAGCCGAACGTGATGCAACACACGATACACTCGTTGACACACTCCGAAGAATCCATCCGGACCACTGGTGATTGTCAAATCACGACGTACTCCCAACAACACGGGTGCTCGAATATCTCCATCAGGCGTAATATCATCTGGCATATAGATACTCGATCGGTCTAGACGACTAGATCGTAACGAGTGACGAATATCTCGTGCATGTCGAGTCTGATTAGATAATGTATACAGGTACGTGTCACAATGGGACAGAGGGAGTACGTTTAAAACCAACAACAGAACACAGCCATGCTTGACTAAATCCGTCAGGGTATTTTTCCCGACTCGCATGATTCGGAGGCGCATATCGATGGCCGATTCCAATTAAGTCTTAGCACAAGTCTTCACAGTGTGTTGCATACAATGACGTTGTGGATTGTAAAGAAAATGACAAGGTCAGTCAACAAGTAATCCACCTGTAACATTTGACAACCACATCGTCACAATAAAACCGGTCGTTTGCCTGCGCCAAAACCGGACTAATTTCGTTGAACTGTGACTGACAGACATCAGCGCACTACGAGGTCTGATCGTCTGATTGGCCGAAATTCCCGGCAGTGGCCGAACAGACCAATCACAACGCGCCGGAGCACACATGCGACCTTGCTCTCTGCGCGTGTGGCCAATTTCCACAAGCGGATAGCGGTGAAAGCAAGAGAGACGTGAGCTTATAACTACTGGTGTCGTTATCAAAATATTGGTACGGAGCAATGTTTAAAATAATCTAAGGACTGTACTAAAAGAAGCAAGACATTACATCATTTTACCACCATTGTTTTCACCCTGTTGCATGGATTTGAACTACTCACGTTGAAGGAAAGAATTCGAGATTGAAAGGAACTTCATAGTATTTTGAAAAGTCAGCAAACATTATATTTACACTGTTAAGTTGAAGAATAGCACGAAATAAAAAACAGCGTGAAGTGAATATTGACAACCATTCGTACAACTGGACAACTAGATCGGTGAATAAAACCAGTTTCACTACAATTAAAAAAAACAGTCAGACGTATAAGTTCACAAGGAGGCTAAAGTTGATTTCGCGACCGATGTAGTCTCAAAGAAAGCAAAGAAAAAGTGGACTGAAAAATTTTGAGTCCTTTTACTTTCATTTACTATATATATATATATATATATATCATAATAATGATACATAAGTAGTATGTGAATGAC